TAGCTTGTAGCAGAAAATGCCACCGCCACTCACTGCCCCCCAACCACCAGCCAATACAATTCAGTTTGTTAGTTGTCCTGGTAATAGTTCCTGTTCCAGTTCCGGTTGCTCCTGTCTCTTAGAAAGGCTCATCACTGTGATGCATAACTTGTCACTATGATGCACATTGTATATGTCAGTGCCCAATTAATAAGCCCTTTCTGCCTGTGTACTTCCTGCTTGCTTATCTCATATCGGTAGACCACCAGAGATCAGGGCCTGATATTCTGGGAATGATCCCAAACAGTGCCCACTAATGTAAATAAATCTGCCTCCAAATCCTGGGTGTTGTGTTTTTGCTTGCCATCACAATTTCCTTATCAAATGATCACCACCTCAGAGAGTTTGTAACAAGATAAGATTTAGAAGCTTGACCTGGATAACAAATCTTCATGCTATTCAACATATACGACTATAAATATTTGATATAGTTCAATAACTCTGTATTACATTAAAATAAAACCAAATGTACTAGTGCTTTATTTGTAAACATCAGATTTAGCAAAGTTTGAATGTGATGTTAGTGATTTCAACTGAAAATATTGACCGTGATCTGATCTGAGTCCTGTGTTCCTGAGAAACAGCAGCAAATAAAGTAATCTCCCCACCTATGTTGTTGTGAAAACGGCTTCCTGGAAGAAACTCATAGGCCAAAAAAACAGTCTTTAATGATTTTTCTTTTTTACTTATGACAATATAACATGGCCAAACACAGACCCTCTAAATTCCTCAGAAACAATTAGATAGATTGCTTTTCCCTACTGGTAATTTTAAAACAAAATTTTTGTTGTTGTTTTTTGTTGTTGTTGTTTAAGACAGTCTCACTGTGTAGTCCAGGTTGGCCTTGAACGCACTATGTAGCCCAGGCTCCTCTCCAGCTCATAGTGATGAGGCTGCCTCTGCCTCCTTTGAGTGCAGGGATTATAGGCATGCACTACTACGCTCTGCAAAAACCTGTTTCTTAACCAAAAGTTTGTTAAATTATCTCCTTTCCTGAAGCACTTGAGGTATTTTGCCCACCCTCAGCCTGAACCTAAATTTCCTGCTTAAGGGTCATTGTTGAGACAGGAGTGGCTTCAGGGTAAGACATTTTTTGATCTATTATCCATCCAGTCAGGAAACTTTTTCATCCCATTTCCCCATTTCCAAAACCTTCCAATCTTTTTCATTTTTCATATAAAAGGAAAATTCTGTCTTGTCTTACCTGTGTGAAACTTGCAAATCTTACATAGTAGTCATGCTCCCCATACTATAATAGTGCTTTACTCATCAGTAACCTTTTTGAAAAAAATCTCTCCCCTTCTTAAATCTAAATTTGTTTTCTTATTTAATGCTTGAACCATTTTGTCTGCCTTGTATACTTTATATTTCACAAAATTGATTTAGATATGGAATAGACATTGCACTTTGGGTCTATTCTCACCACTCTTCAGTGCTATGTAAAAGCCAAGTTCATTTATTCATGATGCACACCATTAAATTAGTTGAGTGGTCCTTTAGATTCATGATTCAAATCCTATAAGCTCAATAGCTATAAAGATAGTGTTGTAGGCAGCTGAGTTAGATAGAAATGTTATAGGCAGTCAGATAGGGCTAGGCCCTCAAAGAAGCCAGTATGGACGATAAGATACCTTGCAACTGCAGGAGAGATAGGCGCTCCCACAGTGGGCCAGACCTCAAGACAAAAGATAAAGCAAATGCCCCACATACTTGCCTGGAGATAGACATCAGGGATTGATATTCTAAATAGGTAGCAATCACCTTGAAAAAGTCAAGAAGAGTCACTAACCCAACCCCTCACAAGAAAGGCCCCTGTTCTATATTCATGCCCACTTGATATGTGACTTACTTCCCCACTTGATCCTGACTTAATCAAGTTTACCTGAACAATTAAACTTGTAATCTTATTGGCTGACCATAGTTTTGTCCCACCTTATGTCCACCTTGTGATTTCCCATTTTTGCCACCTTGGACCCACTTCACCTCATGGTTTGCTCTATAAAAGTTCCTTAGAAAGACAGGGTCCTTGGCAACTCACTCAGTCCCCTTCTGTCCCTATTTCAGACAGAAGCTTTCCTTCCCTCAATAAACATATTCTGCTCTTAACCTCCACTGTTCCTAAAATTCATTCTTCGATTTTAGAGAAGACTAACTGATCCCAGATATCTTTCAGGTTGGGAGTTTCTTTCCCTATACCAATTGGATGTAGCTAAAAAACAAAGATTAGTTATAGCTGGATGCGGTGGTCCACACCTGTAATACGAGCTAATGTAGAGTCTGAGTCAAGAGCACCACAAACAAGTTCAAGTCCGCTTGGTCAGCTTCACAAGATTTTGCCTCAATATGAAAATGAAAAGAGATTATAATGTTCAGTGTAACAGTGTTTACTTAGCAGGAATGAGACCCTGGGTTGAATTCAAATGATTATACATATGCAGCAAATAATAAAGATTTATTGACTTAGTGCTCTCATTTTATTAGTCATATTTTTCTGAAATTGAAAATAGGTCAAACTAAAAAGGTCTTGTGTTTTCAGGCAGTGTGCCTTCACAATTATCACATACATTTGTACAAATAGATGTCCTTTTTGAGGTGAAATCTCATGGAGAAGCTGAAATTTCAGTCAGGTCAAATTTTGGCAATGCTTTTTTTTGACTGTCACATCTAAAATGGCTGAATATTGACTAAACTCTAAAGCTTTGGTTCTTGATAGGAGCCTTTCTCCATAATTATCAAATTCCCAATGATTATATTAACAAATATGTGATATTGCTGATATTAATATAAAATAACAAGTAAAAAAACCTAATAGCAATGTTTATGCAAATTGTTGCTTTTGTTATATATTTGAAAAGACTTAAGCTATTCATTTTGTAAAACACATATATAAGGAGGAAAAATCATAGACAAAGAATGGACAAGGCAGAATGCTGGGAAAAAAAACGTGGGATAGAGGGAGGTTGAGGGAAATATATCCCTTGATGACTTTTCTTTTGCTCTACCACTAGAACCTCCACAGAAGGACAGAAGCAGCAGGACAGATGCACCCACACCTCCTAGCACAGCCCTTCTCACACTGCAGTGTGAGCCCAGATCACCTGGGGACTTCCTCTAGGATGCAGCGTGTGTAGATCTGGAAGTGAACTCTGCATTTTTAAATTCATGGATGACTTGCTACTGCTGGCTTAGAGACCACAGTCGAAGTAGCAGGACTGTAGCAGAAAAGAAGCAGCTATGTTGAATTACCTCTGTGGAAAAAGTCTCCAGGGTGCAGGCCCACCAAAGCAAAGGATGGCTAGAAAAGGCTACAGTTAAGAAAATTGGAGGTGTGCTCAAAAAAATAAGTTAAAACTAGCATAAAAGCCAGTTGAGCAATGACAGAGCAACAAAGGTATGTATAAAAATTTGAGGCTTTAGTGATAATCAGTGCTTATCACTTAACTTCAGGAGCTAAAAAGAAGGAATTAAATATCTAATCAATCAGAAAGACGACACAAAAAAATCAAAATGTAGTTATGTACAGATCCAGCCTCTGTTACATGTTATATGTCTGAAAAGACTTGGGCTATTCATTTTTCAAAATACCTATATAAAGTAGGAAAAATTTCTTCCCTATCATCTCATGGTCTTTGGCTGAGCCTAATAGTTAAAATGACATAGGACAGATTAGCACGACAAAAGAATACACAATTTAATAAATTCTACATATACATGATACCTCACAAATAAATGAAGACCCAAAAAAGCAGTTCTCATAGAGATTACTTGTACACTGTTAGATAAAGAGTAGCAAATTATGAAACCAGGAACTAAATCAGGCGAGAAATGTTGGCAGTGGAAAACTGCCAGGAACATAAGGGTTAGTTTATAAGATTTGTATGAACAGATTTTACTGAGCCTCCAGTCCCTCTCTTAGTGATCCCTTCATGTTAACCGTTCCCTATAGAAAGCTTTTGCGCAGGGGCCTCCTGCCTCTAGGAACTTAAAACCCAGGGCTCAGGAGAAGGCAGGACAGGAGGACAAACAAAACGACTACGAATATAGAAAGAAACACTGTAGAAAAAAAAACATGAAATGGTCCCCCCACCCCCGACAATAGACAGTTTCGGTAAAAAAAGAAAGTGAAAGTAACCTTGTGCCATAAGAGGCTTTTCCATTTTACACTTTTTTTTTCATCCTTAAACTGGTGAGGTTGGATACTTAGGTTGGGTATTTGTCTTGTCTTCAGTCTGTGGCTAACGTATGTTCGATTCGCTTTTTTCCAATAGGAAGAAAGAACTATGTTCCCTCTCCTCTGGTTCTCTCTGCGAGGTTGTCTTCTACCTCTCCGCAGTCTGTTCCCTTTCCTTTTTTGACTTATCTGCATTCTATACAAAGTAGGACAAAAGCAACACTGTCACGAGGCTATCTGCATGCCAGTAGGCCCCCTGGATCTCCCTTCTTGCTTTCCTACCACTGATTTTTTTTTTTTTTTTTTTTTTTTTTTTTTGGTGCAGGGAAGCAAACTCAGGATGTTGCACTTGCGAGGCAGGCGCTTGTGCTGCTGAGCTATATCCCCGGCCCCTCTACCGCTGCTCTAGAATCTAGAGTCAAAGCTAAAACTATTGGTCTTCCAGGAGCTTTCAAATGCATTTGTGGAAGTACCGTTGCCAGCCTGACACTTCAAAACATAAGAGAAAGCAACTTTTAGTAAATAGAGCTAAATTGTTTTGAGTAAGAGGAATTTATTCTGGAAAGAGTATTGAATAGGTTGAAGAAGCTGGCCTGACTTGAGGGAGGGACTGGCTCTGAGGAGTTGACCAATGACAGATAGACTGAGACTCCATCTTTGCATGGGTTACATACTAGAATGAACCAATCAGAGACAGTAAAATTCAAGTCTTCATTTACATACCTTTGTCTACAAATAGGCTAAGTCTGAGCGCTTAGTATTTCTTCTGTTTTTGGTCTACAATAGCTGTAGTAAGCATGCCTGAGCCCGCGAAGTCGGCGCCGGCCCCGAAGAAGGGCTCTAAGAAGGCGGTGACCAAGGCGCAGAAGAAGGACGGCAAGAAGCGCAAGCGCAGCCGCAAGGAGAGCTATTCGGTGTACGTGTACAAGGTGCTCAAGCAGGTGCACCCCGACACGGGCATCTCGTCCAAGGCCATGGGCATCATGAACTCGTTCGTGAACGACATCTTCGAGCGCATCGCGGGCGAGGCCTCGCGCCTGGCGCACTACAACAAGCGCTCGACCATCACGTCTCGGGAGATCCAGACCGCCGTGCGGCTGCTGCTGCCCGGGGAGCTGGCCAAGCACGCCGTGTCTGAGGGCACCAAGGCCGTCACCAAGTACACCAGCTCCAAGTGAGCGCACCCTGCTGCTACCTACAACCCAAAGGCTCTTCTCAGAGCCACCTACTTACCCGTAATTGGAGCTGTACACTGATAATTTCTGTTCCCTGAGTGGCACCGCTTCGTAAAATGGTACGTTAATTCCTGAGCATTTACCCGTTCACAGTGTCACAAAAGCGTCCATTCCAACAATACCGGAGCTCCTGAAAGGAGTGGGTGCCTTTTGAAATTTGATGTAAGATGTGTCCTTATTGGGAGCACTTTATAGTGCTGGTAGCCTACAAAATGTGCTATCATTTTTGGCAAAAGATTTTTTTACTTCCTCTTTTTCATAAGCTAGACCTGCAAAGGTTCCCAGAGTTTTCAAGGTTATAGGATGGAAGAATTGCCTCAATCTCTAATTTACTCCTGTCCTATCCTCGTCCTTATGTGTTTTGCTCAGCAGTTAGTGGCCACAATTTAACAATCCTGGAAATGAAGAATAGTACAAACCCAGGCAGATGTAAGAAATGTGGAAGTGGGCTTGGGAGAAAAGAAGTGCTTGGGTTAGAACTTAATGTTCTTAGTGTATGTGCTGCGAAAGCAAACACAGAACCCAGGATCTTAAACATGTCTTCAACCACTAATCCATACTTTAATTCCAGATGTAGCCTTTTGATGTTCATAATGCTGGACTCTGTTCTGGAACTATGCCTTGTGACCACTTGATGCTAGAGACAAACAATGGAAGATTTTCTCACTCGTTTTGCAAGTCTTTGGGGGAAAAGGGTAGAGGTTTTCAGGGAAAATGGAGGTAAGAAAGGTTTGGTTAGGGGTTCCTCAACGGAAAATACCAAACTCACCCAGGAATAAATGATTCTTGAGAAATAATTATAACCAGTCTTTCCAGCAGTTTATGTACCCTTTTATTCTCTCAACAAAGTAAAGTAAAAGCAAAAATTGAAAAAGGTTTTATGTTAGTGACCAAATTGTTTTTCAAGTTTACCTACTCACTTTTATTTTAGTATGAGTTACACTAGAAGTTCCCAGTTCATTAAGAACCCACTTGCCTTTCTAGAATCATGATGGTCATTGTGAAAGCACACGTGATCACGTATGTGCCCCTAATCAGATCCTTTTCGATTTCCCACTGTTCTTGGTGCAAAATTACGAAATGCCTGTATGGGCTCAAACTGCAAAATCTGGCACTCCTCTGAGTCTGCAACCCAAAGAACGTTCTTTTCTTCCTTTTTGGTTTTTTGTTCTTGTTTGTTTCTTCAATCTTTGGTCTTCAAGGGTTTAGAATTAGCCATGACTCCTCTAGACTCAGGGCCTTTGCAATTTTTCTCACATAAAATTCCTCTAATTTGAGACCCTTCCTCACCACACACACACACACAGAGAGAGAGAGAGAGAGAGAAGAGAGAGAGAGAGAGAGAGAGAATAACAAGTAACAAGTTTCAAGCTCAGCTAAATCATCATGTGGAAACTGTTAGAGGTTCTCATGGCCCCAGAAAACTTCCCCTATATCTAGGCCCAAACCATGCTTTAGTAAGGGTCATAGAACCCTAGGAATTGGTGGGGTTGTATCAGAATCAGATCTCTAAGCCTGGGAGGAACTATACCTCCTCTAGAGCACAAGGTAGGAAACAAAAGGTTAAGCAAAATCAAAGGTGTATTAGAAAGCAAGGGTAATGACATTTCATTAGGCACCTGTACTGTCTCATACAAGAACATTCTGGACAGACAAAAGGAGCCTACAGGAGGCTAACAGTCAGTAGCCACTCATATTCATGTCACTCATATTCTAGTGGCAAACATAGAATTATGTAGAAGGATACAGTGAGTGATTCTCAAACTGCAGTGCACACAAGAACCATCTGCAAGGCTGTTGAACTATGCTAGTACCAATCAGAGTGTTTCTGTTTCATTAGGTCTGGGATAAGACCCACAAATTCGCCTTACTAAAAAGTTCCCCTGAAAAATAGGCTTAATAAGCACCTGTACACACACAGTATGTGGCTTTCCTTGCGTTAAAGACGAAGTTATAAAATCATGAAAGGTCTATATGCCAAACAACCAGATTAGGTTTATTATGTAGTCCATAAAAAGTTGAAGAAAGTTTCTCAACAAGGACTGAGATGATAAGCTGGTTTTTGGTGGCAGGCAACTGGACAGATTGGAGGGAAATGTCACTGAAAAGTGATAAAAGTTCAAGGTAAAGAAGCAGTAGCTAGGTAAGGGAATACTAAAAATAGTTTTAAAAAATAATCGAAGAGCAGTTAAAGTTTCCATTTAGGATTTTGCAAAATGTTGTGCTTCCTCTGTGCCAGGTGTGAGAAACAGCAATGAACAGAGTTAGCTGTCCTGGGCTAAAATATCCTAGTGAGAGAAAAACAATAAATTTTAAGCAGGATATTTCAACCAGAGTTCTGGATGCTGTGAAGCAATGAAATAAAACCAAATGACATGATCTGGACTAGGTGATTCCTTACAGAAAGCAACCAAAAATCTAGGAAATTAAAGGTTCCAGGGAAAGGTCAGTATTGATACCAGAAAAAAAAAAAATTATATCCTACAGAAAGGCGTTTGAGCTAAAGAAATATTTCAACTTGTGTGCTAAGATACCAGTGACAAAAATAAAGGGTTAATTGACGAAGCTGAAGGTTAAACATTTGACTGCATATGTTGTACAATGTGATAAAATGAACCCAGATTAGTCATAGCACAGTAAAGGGGTTATAAGCACCTTTTAAACTGTACTGTGGGGAATGGATTTTTGAGATTAAAAAGGAGAAGCAAGGAGAAGAAACAAGCTATAGCAATAATGATGGTGAAATTGTTAAGAGTTGGTTGTAGGAAACACCCAAGAGAATTTATGGGTGAAGTGGGTTAGATGAAGAAACAACTGACATCTATTGCGCCTTTACCATACTAAAGACAGGGTTTTAGTCAATTTTGTGCTGTTAGAACAATGGAGACTGGTCAATTAACAATGAAACAAAAAGCTATTTTCATAGATGTAAGGCTTGTAAGACCAAGCAGCTGGTGTCTGGCAAAGTTCTTGCTGCATCACCATAGGAGGCAGGCAAAGGTTAAAAGAAAAAGTGTCATAACGTGTTCCTACCAGTTCAGTCTTGTGTACCTGATGTGGTTGGAATACCTTAACTGCTAGGAAGAGGAGAGGGACAAGGTGAAGTCCAGATCTGACAGTGACTTTCACTCCTCACAGCAGCTAGGAAGAAACTGGTCACATGCTATAAAACTAAACGGCCAGAAAATCTTCCTCTGGCGCAAAAAGATGACTTTTTTCAAAAATGTCAGCTTTCATCACACGTACTTCAGGAATTCAGACTAAAATCCATTAACGATATTCTTAATAACGGATAAAAACTATGGGAAGCTTAAACAATCGAGTATACGATTTCTTGTTTTCTCTTCCTGAAACTTACAAGGTAGTGAGTTTTGAATTAAGACCTTAGGCTTAATACAACTACCCCAGCATGCAGTACCAACACAGTGATAGCCACAGACCAGCAGACGCTAAATTCAAAGTTTTCTGACATTCCAAATTTTTACAGGGTTGTTAGAAAGTGGAAAGCCTTACCCAAACTACCCTGACAGCGAGGGACAGTCCCTTCAAACTCCACTGTGGAAGCCCAAGGACCACCGCAGAAGTTCAACATCCGCTGTTACCATACCCAGCTTTCTCTCTCAAGCGGATATTTAACACAATGTCATATCGTGTTAACGAGACAAGCAGGCTAGTCAAGCGTTACTCTTTTGAATGAAACAAGTAGTTGGTCCTGAAAAGGACCGTTTGGGTTGATTGAGAGTAAAAGACAACGAAGAACTTAGCCGCCAAAACCGTAGAGCGTGCGTCCCTGGCGCTTGAGCGCGTAGACCACGTCCATGGCGGTGACCGTCTTGCGCTTGGCGTGCTCCGTGTAGGTGACGGCGTCGCGGATTACGTTCTCCAAAAAGACTTTCAGAACGCCGCGCGTCTCCTCGTAGATGAGGCCAGAGATGCGCTTGACACCGCCGCGCCGCGCAAGACGGCGGATGGCGGGCTTGGTAATACCCTGGATATTGTCACGCAATACCTTGCGGTGGCGCTTAGCACCGCCCTTCCCAAGGCCTTTGCCTCCTTTGCCACGACCAGACATACTTGAACTGCACGCACCGAACAAGCAACACAATGCCTCCTGTCGCGCCACCACAGGACTTTTATAGTAGTGTTTCGGACCTGTTTGAAAACTTCAAGGCGGGGGTGGGAACTGTACTTCCCGCCCTGCTGCACATTTTTTTTTCCTGCTCAGCCTGGAGGAGATGGGCGGAGCCAGAAGCAACAGCAGAGCCTGAGGCGGCCTACTCAAGTCTGTGGTAATCCTTAGAGACGGAAGAGGAGGAGCCAACGGCTGCATTGTTTGTCGTGCCTCATTCCCTTCAATCATCTCTTTTAAACCATTAAAAAATGTCTTGCGTACCTACGGGAATGAAATTGCACCTGTCACACTAATACCTTCTCTCCCTCTCTTTTCCCTTTTGGAAGCCAGTGTTTGGCCAGGTTGATCTTAAACACTGTGTATGTAGCTCAGTCTGACCTCAAGCTAGTGGTGATTCTCCTGCTTTAGACTAAGGAGTACTATGATTCTGAAAGTGAGACATCACCCCTGGAACAGGCTGATATTTGCCTTGCAAATTTGAACTACTTTTGTACATTGTTATGCATTTCATACAAATCTGAGTCTCTTGGAGAAAAGTGAACACTTCCAATTAAAATGGAGAATAATGCAGGTAAAATTGTCCTTGGAGAGGGAAAAGTACTACAGTTTGTTGGACAATCCCACCACAAGTCTGGGCCCAACATTTATTGCCTCCTTACTGCTTTTCTATCTGTTAATATGGTGTCTTGCAATCTGAAACTACCTTCTGTTGCTATCATAATTCCCAACTGTGTGTACTTGCAAATGTGATTCACAAGTCGGTGAAAAAAATCACTTGATTACATTCAATTTATTCCCCCAACATTCTCAATTTTCACCAGCATCTCAACACCCCAAAAGCATTTCTCTTTGGCTCTGTATTGTCTCATAAAATAGTTTTTAACAATTTGCAGCCTTAAAATGTTGATTTGTTATTTATTGGAAAATAGTAGCTATTGCTCCACAATTCATATGTCTGAAATTCATTTTTTGACAGTAACATTTATAAACTCTCAATGCAGTGTATCTAGTTCCACTAAAAGTTAGTTACCAGACAATAAAATATACACCAAACTTGGAATGTTAAGGATAAACAATAGCAAGAAATTTTACACTGATAATGTTTTATATAGATTACATTTTCAAATGATAGTTTGATATTTGAGGTTAAGTACTACATGTTCTTATATGTTTTTCAGTTTTTAAAATGTAGTTTGTGGAAAATTCAAATGTATATATGACTTTCATTATCACTACTATTACTTTGCAGTGTATTTCATTGTCAAGCATTGTATCAGGATTCTTCCTCTAACTTCTCCATATCTTAGTCTTTACATAATTTTGGTAGCATAAGCTTAGCAAAATAGTGGGCATTTCATATATTTCTAAGGAATTCAGCAGTAGAGACATTAACAGGGCCTTAGAAGCTAGGTTTGCAGATGCCTAATGGATAAGAAGACACAGGACAAACCTTGGCATGTCTGTCTCCATTTTATATCTATCCATTTCATCCTCTTAAAACTTTGGTCAGATTTCTGCTCACTTGTATGTGTAATCATGTAAATCACTACAGGTGTATCTTTCTAAAAATGAAATACAAGGTTTATAATTCCTAAATTAACTTACCTCATCCTACTTCAAGAGGGAGTAAGATTTACAGGGACACTTAATTGTCAATTTTTTCAAAGTCCTGTTCTGTGGAAAAACACCTAAAAATCTCCAATTACTGTCCTACACATATAAGGTACCTTACTGAGTCTATGTAAAGCAGAGCCTTTGCAGAACATCCAGTGATGAGGTGACACCCCTAAAATGGCGTTAATAATATCCCTTAATTACTGCAGGCTGATCAGGTCTGCAATCTCCTGAATGAGTGTATGGTGAAAGCTAAATAAAAAGAGGCAAATGGAATGATTTCAGGGCTCCAAGAGGATCAACGCCCTCTCACATAATTCCTAATTCCCTCAGGGCTAAGACCAAGACCTTCTCTGGGTCGCCCATATTTATTTGGTGATCAGAAGAAGGAAGGGGAGTACTCAAGAAGAGCAGAACCACTCAAGGACTTCTCTAAGTAAGGTATTAAATTAATCCACTGAAGAATGAGATGCCTGAGGCTATAGTCTTTAGTTAAGCTCTGATCCCGGTGTCCTTTGCTGTGATCTTCTCTTATCCTTTGAGGCTTTCTGGTTTCATCTACCACTATAGGTTTTAGTAGGGATTAGTGACTCACAAGAGGTTCACTTACTATGAGTCCACCATTTCCAGATAAGAAGCCTAGGCCTTGGACAAATTCACAAGTGAACATGAAAAGCCATTTGATTAACTTAAGTCCTGATCAAGTCTGCTTCATAGTGGTCTCCATCACCCTAAACTGAAGCAGATAACCCATAAAGTCTCCTCTGGAACAACCTGAAAAACCACTCCTGAGATAATGGTCAACTAGACCATTACTTGACCAGGATTACTTATGCTGAAGCGATACATACTACACAGCTATGCAAACCTCCAAATCTTGCCTTTAAAAGCTCCTTTTCTGTAAAAGTGGATAATTTCTATCAGGCCTTGAAATATCAGGAATGAAAGTCTTTATTTGTCTTTCCCAACCAAACCAAACTGATTCACACTCCTCATTGTATTCACCAGTACACATCTCTTTGAATGACATTTTGCCAAGAGTAGTAGGACCTAGTTTCATGGGTCCCTTAGAAATGGGAGTTTTCCTTTACAACTCTAGTACCAAGTTGACTCAACACAGGATGAAGTACTATATAAAAACAAGTCATACTATAAACAAAAGCAACCTTCTCAAACTCACTGCTAATCAAGGTGGAAAAGGTGGACAGTTAGGAAACATTACCTATTTTAATTTTTCAAATGAAGTCAGTAGAGAGCAATTACTAGGTATTCCATGAAAATGTTTTTCCTCTAAAAGTATATTTTTAAGGAAAAGCATTCAAAACTGATTTTCAAACTGATACGTATGCTCCCAAATTTAAGCCTTCTACAAAATGATGTCCAAGTATGTTTCATAAAAAGAAATGAAGGAAAGACTAATAGTCACTCTTGTAAACTAAGTAAATATCAGGAAAGACTGAAACAAGAAAATTAACTCAGTTATCTTGGAATTTAGAAAAAATTCAATAATGTATTTCTTGATGAATAAGTAAGAATGTCAAAATTTTATGCTATGCAAAGTCACACACATTTCATCTACAGATGCATTATTTCATTTTTTTCTAGTGAGGATTCAGAGCGTGAGACAAATTCTTTAGTTGCAAGTAAGGAAAAGAGGAGTATAAGTTCACAAATGATTAACCAGACAAATGAGAATTACAAGGAAATATCCTTTCTGGACAATTTACTATTGATTAAAGGTATCAAATTTAGTAAGGTTTCCTGTTAACTTTTCTGCTTTCTTCTGGTAATCATAAACATAATTTCCATTCATTGGGACAGCTGCGGCTACAAAGACTGATGGCACTTTTGTCATTATGTTTTCGTCAAATTAAATAACCTATCCTAATAATTCTATATTAAACTGCCTACAAAACATAATTCCTTAAATGCTCTTTCAGTCTGTTGGAACTTATTTCATTCATTGAAGTACATTTTTTTGGGGGGTGTCTTTTGAGACAAGGTCCCGAGATATATCTCAGAGTAGCCTTCTAGGCACCTTTGTAGCAGGCTAGTCTAGAAGTCAGGGTGATCCTCCTGCCTCAGGCTCTCAAGTGCTGGGATTATAGTCATATACTAGCCCTTGTGCTGCAAGTTAAACTCTTTGTACCTCTTCATTTTGTATTTTTTGACTTATGATTTCACTGTTTTAAAATAACTTGTTAAAAGGAGATGTCATCTGATTTGTAGGTAAAAAGATGCTGGTCCAGTCACATATTTTCTGTCTGGGGAACAATAGTCCCATACAGCATATCAGCATCATTGGTAAGCACCTGATGGCAGGGTAGAAAATGTAGACTTGAGAGCACATTCATTACCAGGCATTCGTTATCAGAACCAAGGGGAAGATTGTGGTCTTCAGGGAAGAGTTCTGAACACTTTTTAGAAATAAGCAAATCTAGCTGGGCCTGGTGGCACATACCTGATCCCAGCACTAGGAGGCTGAGGTAAGAGGATCCTTGTGAGTTCCAGACCACCCTAAACTACATAGTGAGCTCAAGGCCAGCCTGAATTACAGGTCTCAAAGACCAAAAAAGAAAAAGCAAATCCAAGAATGGAGGTGAAGGCATGGACTACATCCTTTCATTCTCATGAGACAGCATAGTTCAAAAGGCCTGCCAAACACTCCTCAGAGTGTTTTAGGAGACTCTGCATCTGTTTGACTAATAGGGCCTCATATTTGTGCATTTCTATGTTAACTTTCAGGAGATTAATAATTGCAAAGATTTTTGTACATTGCAGATTGCAATAATCTGTCCAGTAGAAAATAAAACTCAAAAGTTACAATTGTATCACATGACAATAACCATTTTTAATATAATTTTCCTTTGTTTTTCAGTCTTTCATGAACTATGTATATTCTTGTTAATATATTCCTTTGTAATGGGGTTGTCTTTCTGATATAGCTATACTGATGAGTACTATATTAGAAACATTCTATTTAAATATTTTAGGTTTAGTTTCTTGTTTTTAATTTCACCAGTCAATAGCTATCATAAGGTATTTGCTTTACAGTCTAATTGTTTATGTCAAAGAAAGCAGATATTTGCTTTTTTGGCTGTGTAGGACTGCCCAGTGAAGTTCAGGTTCCTGAAGAAATCATTTCTTTTTGTTTCCCAATTGTAAATGTTTGTAAATCTTTTTACTCAAGCCTTGTAAGAATATTAGGAGGCAGGCCTCGTCACCAATAATTCACTTCTAATAATCAATACCCAAAATTTTCCCATATACTCTTGCTCCCTCATCAACACGGTCACCTCTACAGTTTGAAACTCTTCAAAGGGACAAATGAAGCTATTTTCTAAATAAATTGTTGATCACAACACTATTATATATCACATGCAAGGTCCTGTACTAGAACAACCACGTATGTCATTCCAGTTTTTAAAAATTCATATTCTTTTTTCACCGAGGGAGGTAAACTGTAAATGTATTGTGAACAGTTTTTATTGACAAAATGTATCCACAGTTCTGAAAAGAACCTTTTTCATTTCCAAGGAAATCACTGGTTTGCGTTAGGCCCTCTTCTCTATGAAAGCAGCAAGCCGGCTCTGTGTCCATGACTAAGAACGTGACACCCTGGATAAAGACAGCAAGCAAACTGGTGTCCTGAAAGAGAGGCAACAGAAACAGTATTTCCCTTATGCCTTCTGCAGTGCCATGACAGCTGAGCTCTGGTAAGCGCAGGTCAGTCTTGAATTCATGCTGGAACAGGCGCACCAGGTGCGGGAAGGGAAGTTTGAGGATCAGCAGCTCCATGGACTCCACGAACTGTGCTGGATCTGGCGCAGCCCCACGGTGCCCAGCGGGTAGCGCTGTGGCCTTGTTGGCCAGCTGCTTACTTGAGGCCTTGAGCAGGTGGACTTGCGCGTTGACTTGCTTAGTAAGGCTAAGTAAAGGACAGCTACTCGCTGGTATTGTCCTATTACTTCTAGAAAGTGTTTGAGTTGGGTTTATCGGTCCCTCACTGAGTTTTCCTTTAGACAAAGATGGAATATATTGTTTGCAGGTTAGTCCACATTTTAATACGTGGAAGGTAGTCATGTACTGTTTACTAGCTTTTTCTTAACTACATTTTCCTGAATGGTAATAACCAAGTTTGAAAGCATTAAGTTGCCCTCATTTATACACTTTAAAAACCCCGCCCTGAAATCTGATTGGTCACTTCTCCTTCTTTGTTCTCTCATAATTTAATTCTAATTTGGGGGTTTATTCTTATTTTCAGAATTTTTGAGTGACGGTATGGAAACTCAATTTGTGTAAAAGTTTGTGTACTGAAATACGCTCATATGGTAACCGACCTACTGTCCCACATGTACTTTTTAGTACTTCTACTTACCTTGCTTACATCCCATTTTTGTTCATATAATAGTACTCTTCCCCTTGCTTCTACAGTTTGAGTTAAATTTTCCCTTTCTTTTAAAATATCTTGTAATGTGTAAAATTTTAAACTAGCATTATGGGGCAAAGCGTGACTTCCCCCTTTCTAACACGGAAAATTGCTGTCAGTTAGAAAACTTCAGCCAGTGAAGTGTCCATACTGTGCTTGAAAAGCATTGCAGCACTTTACAGAAAAATTGGGTGGCTCTGAAAAGAGCCTTTGTTTTCCGGAAATATGGACCACTAGAGCTGCTCAGCTCTTCACTTGCCCTTGGCCTTGTGGTGGCTCTCAGTCTTCTTGGGCAGCAGCACGGCCTGGATGTTGGGCAGCACGCCGCCCTGCGCGATCGTCACCTTGCCCAGCAGCTTGTTGAGCTCCTCGTCGTTGCGGATGGCCAGCTGCAGGTGGCGCGGGATGATGCGCGTCTTCTTGTTGTCGCGGGCC